AAATGTTCTCGAATATCATTAAAGAACCCTCCTGAGATTATATAATTGGATTACTCTGTAGTCTTCCAAAATAAATGGAAGACCATTTAAGACAAGGCAGGAAAATATATTGAGGAACGTGCTGCAAAAATCCATCCTATAATGGTATGGGGAGATGGGACAATTAACCCGATAGGTCTTTCCCATCTATTGTTCTATGAATTTATAAGGTCTGAAGTCTTGTAAAATGAGAACACTGTTTGGATGATTTGAACTGTTAATGATTTAAAAAAGAAAAAATTGCCTCAGCCTGAAAAATGAGTGAGTCAGACTAGAAATCTAATAAAGCTCTGAAAGGCTGGGGGTGTATTTCTATTGCCACCAACTGTAGTTCTTCACCCCAGGAGAATATGAGGACAAAAGATTGCATTGTTAAATGCACTCACTGCTGTGAGCAATAACTAATACATATGTTTATTAATTTATGCTTGCCTTCAATAGCTAACAGGTTTCATGCCTGATCTTTTCTTAACAGCTGATTTCATTTGGGAGTTCCTGTTCCTCATATATTTGAGCATCTGCTCTCCTTTTTAGCTTGGTGCTCCACTCCAGCCCAGTTTTTAGCGCTTACTGAAAGCAGGATGCAGCTGAAAAAGAGGAGAAATGATTGCGTTTGGCCTTAGATGGCTTGACAAGTGGCGATGTGCTAGTCATGAGCTGTAGGCCTGGAGTCTTCCACTCAGTAAAGCCGATGAATTCCCCTGTAGCCTTCCCCAGCTGGAGAAGTTTGGCTTACATGGCTGCACCCTTACTAGTGCAGTAAAATAATTATTACTGGCCGGTGTCTGTTTTCTTACGCTAATGCCCTGTAAATGAGCATCTGTTTTCTTTGCATGAAGACATGCTCTGATGAAGCCTACATGGAGCTGAGGGAGCTTGCTAGCTAAACTTGGTCCCCTGCACCATGCAGTACTGGCACGGCTCTTTGGTTTTGTAGTAGGGTTCTATTGAACACTTATCGCTCCCCTGGTATTCCTGCCTTTGTCTTGTGTTCGCTCCACCACTCACTAGGGGTATTGTGGGAATCGTGTTCTCATTTTAACCAGCACATCTGATGAAATCCTGGAAAGTTTTTCACAATGTTAATTGCTTTTCTAGTGGGAATTTAAATCAGCCATTTTGCACTTGGCTCAGCAGGATATATGAATGGACCATTTCCATGAGTAGTATAGGGAAGCATAGGATGTCCGGGGAGAGTTAGTCACTATTTCTCTTTCTGTGGTCAGTAGATCTGTAGGTGATAGCTTTATTTATAGGCAACTTGAAAATTTAAAGACAAAATAAATAAAGGTCTAAAATCAGGCTCCTTTGTCTATTTTTAGGCACATTAATGTCCAAATGATTGATTTGTAAAGCTATAAAACAGGAAATAGTTCCTAGAAAAGGCAGTGAGACTTGCTTACAGCTCAGTACTTTTGAAAATTGGATCCCATATCCTGGTCCCTAAATAATGACCCAGGAACCCAACTTCACCAGATAACGTGGTAATAGCCATATAGCATCAAGATCTAAGAAGTAAAGGATTATTAGACTAACAAGCCCCCTTATCCTGCATCCTTTAAGTAGAATTACTTTTGTGTTACTAGCATGATCTAATGTACACAGATGTACTTGCTTTGAGGCCCTGATCTGAGTGCCTGTTTAGATGTAGCCCCTTCCTTATTAGCTGGCTCTAGGTCTCTCCATACCATACATTTCATTGTGTACAGATGTGTATAGTCACTTTTTATAATGACTGTATCTTAATGTAGGCTTTTTGACTTACCCTCTGGAGGACATGGGCAACATCCATCTCCACTAACCCTTCAGGATATACCTACTGCATTTCTTGACCTCCCAAGAAGCATCATCTTTTCTACCCAGAAAAGTTGCCACACAGAATTTGAGAAGACCGTGTTTGTCCGGGAGGTTTGGTGGACCTGGTGGGAACCGCTATGGAGCAATTCCCCATAGCTCCTGGATTCTGTGCAGCAGGGGAAAGCGCAGAGACGAATCGTGGATCCAGCGGAAACACTGGATTTGCTATGAGCTTTGCTGTAGATCTGGTGATTGCAGGAAGTCTGACAGACTCACTGCGCATGCGCTTGACATTAGCTTTGTGTTTGTACAGTAAAGATGTGTCCTAGAAACACCAAGGTTATCCTGTCCCTGCTACTGAGCACACAAACACCTATTTCTCTCCTGGAAAGGCCAGATAAAAGTGTGGTGGCCTTGAGATAAGAGATGCAGCTGTGTTTCTTATTCAGGACAGTTTTTGCCCCTTCCCCGCCCCGCTCACCCTTGAAATTTTTCTTGTATGTATTTCCTATGTAAAGAAGCTTCCTGACCATCTCTGATACACATGTGCAAAGCAGTGAGGTACTTGGTACAATATAAGTGGAATCCAGTAAGAATCAATTGGACTTCAGTAAAACCACTGTTCAGAATTGTTCCTCTTCACTTTGGGTAACAGTAACTGCAAAAATTATGAACTGTTTCCACAATGCAATGAATTTGGTTTACCCTATTTCCCTTTTTCCAGTTCTGCATAATACATACAGCCTGTTGGTTACCTTATTCAACACTTGTAATATGTAAAGAGCTCTATAAATCCCTAGAACTGGTATTGTAAAGCTGAAACCGCTTTTTCCAGTTCTGCATAATACATACAGCCCGTTGGTTACCTTATTCAACACTTAATATGTAAAGAGCTCTATTAATCCCTAGCACTGATATTGTAAAGCTGAAACCGTGTTAAAGATTGCTTAGAGTTAAAATTAGTGATTATATTGTAGTAGTGCCTGTACATATCCCGGGAATGGACTCTTGCTCTAACAAGATGTAATGTTGAGTTAGGTACAGTTCAAAGAAATCACAGACCAAGTAGACCAAGTAAGGGCACAGCAACAGAATATTTAAGCAGTGCTCACAAATGTTATGACGACTTAAAGAATTAAGGAGTAAACACACTTTAGGAGGGATTTGAACAGGCAGGAATTAGTCACCTGGAAAGGCAGAAGAAGCAACAGGCTGGGGAGGGGGAGGCTCAAGATAGCAGAGAAGAAAATGGAGGAGTAGATTGACTGGGAGAAGCTACAGTGTTGAGGCTTTAGCAGGCACACAAAAAGGGGGAGGTGGAGTGGAGCCATGACAACGTCTATGCAGACCAGGGAAATAGCAGAAAATAGCAAAGTAGTCCATAGATGTCATTAACTTGTGATGGAAATGGGCTGCTGAACAAGCTGTGACTGCATCGATAGGTCCTAGCAGGTGGCTGGACTGGAAATCCTTTCTCCTCCCAGACCTGAATGAGTTCAAGATCCTCCACAGAAGCAAAGGGTTCACTCCCACACAGTTATGGATGTGGGGACTCATCATCCTTATTTCTTTCTCCCGTCCCAGTGCTGTGTAGGAATTTGGATTTCTATGACATAACAAAATACTCCTGGTGTATTTCAAAGTAGCTTGCTGTCTAGTGCATGATACGTTGGAAGAGATACATGCTCAGTAGTGTTAGAAAATGAGGTATTTGTTCATTCTTTCTGAAGAACTGCAACTATAGATTTAGTAACAAAATTCCAAGATTATTAGGTAGTTACTTAAATGTACTTACAGTACTTTATTCTTTGAAACATGCAGGTCATATCTTTAATCGCTCTGTTGGCTTTGCCAAGAGTTCTGCAATGCAAATAGGGAAACTGTCAGGCAAGAATATTTTCACAGTTTATTTTTCTTTCTCCTCTGAAGGTCAAACGATCTTTCCTATATATAGCTACTAAGGTGGTTGAGGATTAATTCTGAGGACTTTTGAGACTGTACCTCTGAAACGGGCCGTGTTTCGAGAGGGATACCTTGTGCTGGTTCCTGTCTCAGGGCTATTCTTGTCCTCTGGTGTGGTAGTCTTTATTAAGGAGGAAGGGTAAGTTCAGCCCTCGTGTTTAAATCCTCCACAATTTCCACTTCTGACATTCTGAGAAAGCAAAAGGTGGGACAGGAAAGTGAAAGGGCGAGGTAAATAGCCTGAAATAAACTGTCCACCTCCCATCTCTCTTCTTTTTTCAAGTCGGTACAACCTACAGCATAGTTTGATATCCGCTAGTCCAACACCGATTAACTTCATAAAGGCCCAGTCCTTCTTAGAGAGCTCTGACAATATCGAACAAGGAGAGCAAGGTGCTTCCTTAGCCAAGAATCTTCCTGGAGAGACAGGGACTAGAAAGCTCTGTGCCTTCTCGACTTAAGATTCAAAGTCTTTCTCCAGTCCTGATACAGTTGGGCGTTAGCTCTGTATCTTCTTTTAGTGTTGTGGGTTTTTTTTTTTTCCCCTTGATTCTCTCCAACCTTATCTGACCGCTATGTGTGTCATGCAGAGATTTACTGTCTTTACGTTTATGATTGAAGTATATTTACTTTGGTAATAAAAGTCATGAAGCCAAGCCTGTAGAAAAGGACATTCATATTAAAGGAAGAGATCAGCGGATTGTCGGGTTTCCTAGCTTGAACAGTGCTGGCAGCCCTCATTTTGGGTATTTGTCCTTTGAATATTTGGCAAATTGAAGAGCGTTACAACAATAGTGAATGTGTTCAGTGCGTGACTTCCTTACTTGCAATCCTTAGGACTGAAAATAGTTTCTTAACTAGTTTATTTTCTGTTTCATTTCCATGGACATGCATTGAGAAGAGAAATAAGAGTGCCAGAAATACTGTGTAAACAGTAATTCTTGTCATATGAGAAGTAGGAATGGATTGAGTAGAACCTCTGAGAGAATCTGATTTTGGTGAAACTTCTTGTTCAGTTAGAGAATACAAACGGTTCTGATAAAGAAGAGATTTGCCTGTCCCTGGATTTCCTTAAAACTCACACAATATATTCCTGTATCGCAGGTTTTGGTGGTTTTTTATTTCATCCAAGCATGTTCCTTCTTTGAATTTTGATCTTGCTCTTTTCATACTGTAACAGTTCTTTTCTCTGTTTTTCACAGACTGTTTTTGAGAGGAACTGTCAATCTGATGACTGTGCTGCTGATTTGAAACTTCAGGGTAAATTGTTGCTGTCTAGGTGAGTAGGTGAATTATTTTTTTTCCTTCCTTACACACTAGTATGCCACTCATTTTATGTAAGATGGCATTGAAAAATCTAAATACAGATGTTTTATATCCAGACTTGAAGGATGATGACGGTGATACCGTCTTTAGTGCAGAAAGGTCTTGAGATGTACACAGAATCTGAACTCCTGTGGTGGTGGGCTCTGTGCGCTTACTGGGCAAGACACCTTCATCTTCCCAATCACAGTAGACAAAACTGGAGAAAAAAAAAAGCGCATACCAGAGAGGGGCAGGGAAAGTAAAGATGCATGCCCGAATCAGGTATCAGTGTGGACCACGTAATTTTTCAAAAATGATAAATTCTGTTTATGACATGGTAGGAGTAAAACTGCCTGCAGAAAAGCAGTCTTGTTCAGAAAAAATGTCACATGGAAAGTTAAAAAAAACCTCTTCAGAACATGGTAAATTATCTTCTTCAAATTATCTTTCTCTGTTTCTGAACTTGTAGTTTTGCTAACTCTCCTGAAATACTACTACTCTTTGTCAGATTCTTGTTCGTAACTTGGGGAGGGGTGTCTGATTTCACTTTCTTCTGGGATAATAAACTTTGTCAAATAGACCAGAGGTGAAGTTTACGTTCTGTCCCTTGTGACTGGTGATCCTAGCAGAATACCTGTTGTTTTACCAGGATGCAGTTATTCAATTTCGGGATAAATCAGGCTAAAGGTGAACTTTACACATCGCTTCTGTTTCCTTTTTTTCCAGCATTTTTAGCACATTTTTAGAGATGGAAGTGCTGATGCGAGTTATTTAATTGTGTGCCAGAGGTTTTGCTCTTTGATGGAGACGCTTTCTGTGAAATGCTTTGCTTCCAGATCAGGAAAGAGAGGGGAAGAGATGCTCCTGCTTTATGGGGGGATGGGAGGGAAGGAATAAGTAGTAGTCAGGAGATAGACACATGTTTTATATAAGTCTACAGCATGGTGTAACTGTACTTGGACACAAAACTGAACCAGAGTCAAGTCTGAGAAGTTACGGACTTCTCCAGACACGACTGAAGTCCACAAGAATGTTTTGAGGGATTGGCTGGGAGCAGGGTTAGGTCTCAGGTTGCAGAGTCCGAGCTTTGACTGCGATTAGTCTGGAGTTTTGACCTTTTGCTCGATCTTTGTGGTGAGCAAAATCTGTTGAGAGCTGGAGACGTGTCTGTGCAGATTAGGGAAGCCAGTGAGGGATTTTGCCCTGCAGTTGAGGAATAATCAAAAAAAGCAAGGAACAAGTCCTAAAAACTTGTCAGTGTATAGTAATCACAGCAGTAAGAGCTGTATTCGTGATCGGACTGTTTATTTTTACGGCTGTTATTTATGTTATCTTGGCAATTTAAAAGTCACAACTGTCGAAAAAGCTTAGGATATTCAAATACAGTTTCTACATTTGTATGGCACAATGTTGAACAAATGCTCTCGAAACTTCTTTATCCAGCGACACTCGGAACTCCTGTTTGAAATAAACAGGACGTCGTTAAATCCATCAAGTCTGCACAGAATGGGTTTTCTTTAGATAACGGGTTGTGTAAGCTTCAGTTGTTAAGAAATGGAACGCAATGGGTATCTCTAAAAAACCAGATTTTATTATTATTATTGCATGTAAAACTACAAAAACATGCTATGGATTCTGATTTTAGAGAAGTGCCTGTCTTGAAGAATATGGTAATTTTTCCAACCCCATGTGTTTCATGCTAAAGAATCCTATCAACGTTTTTCCACATTATTCCTGTTTATGCTAAATCTGTGTACAAAGCTTTTTTTTTGTAGAAGGAGCAAAAAAGGTGACTCATTTATTACTATCTGCACTAAACAATTGACTTCATTGTTAGCAAGGTTATGGCAATACCTTTGTCTAAACAATCACGTCTGGCTAAATTTGGTGGACTTATTAGCGGAAAGAATGCAATTAATGACACGCAGATACGTTGGATTGAAATAAACAGGACGTTTGTGGGAAGGCAGCAGTGGGTACTGTCTCTCAGATCTGCTGCAGCTCTTTGAAGATGTCACTGGACACGTGGATAGAGTGATCCGGTTAAGATCATCTACCTGGGCTTGCAAAAGACTTCTATTAAGACTTCTCACCAAAGGTTCACAAAGAAAGTAAGTTGCCCAGGTCTGAGAGGAATGGTGCCTGAGCATTACTACCTAGTTAAAAGATAGTCAATAGAGAGGAGGAGTAGATGGTTTGTTTTCCTGGTAGAGAAAACACCATGAGTGCTTGTGCTGGGGTCAGTGGTATTCAGCACGTTCATAAATGATCAGGGGAATAATCTGCTAAAAAGGAGTAGCAAGGTGATGAAGTTTGCTAATCATACTAACCTATTCAGAGCAATGGAAAGAACAAATGGGGAGGTATGTTTTCATGAAGCATGTGATTGATCTGTGGATTTTACTGTTGGGAATGTTGTAAATGCTGAGAGTTTACATGGTAAAGAAATGGCAAATATGAATACTGGAAGCTGCAGAAATACATCGGCTTGCCTTGTTCTTCCATGGGCTTCTTGCTTTTAAACATGGTTGGATACAGGGCTCTCTGCTAGACAGATCGACTTTCTCTGGCTGTTTTTAAACACTTTGCATGGATTTTTAGCATGTTAGAGGCAAAAGCTGTGCAGAGAGCTGTATATCATAGGGCATAGTTTTGCCCGTCACTGTATGTAATATGCTTTCAAACATGTGCTGGTTAGAGCATATATGTACATAGGCCGTTAGCTCAGGTTACATTATCATCAAGAGAATTGCTTGCAGAGATCACACTCATGAGCTCAGGAACTGCCCAAGCCACTCGGATTTAGAGTTCACCTGGGATGTGTTTGAATCACTAGAATTACCCACTTAAAAGACTGCACCCATACCAAATGTCTAATAGGAAAACCAGCCTGTGCTGGCAAGAGCTAACCAGGTCTCCTCTGTTTTTGCTGCTATTGGGATCCTCCCTCTCTTCAGAAAACTTATTTATGTGCCCTCAAATTGGGAGCACTGCACTTTGATAAATAACAAATAGCCAGGGATGTTAACGCTTGGTCTAGGTAGCAACCTAATATATGGCTATTTATTCAAAATGCAAATCTGCATGTGTCAGTTAAAAGCTTCGCTGCTGTTCTGGCCAGATACGATTGAGTTTGCCTTGTTATTTCGTGCTGTGGAGGTGCTGCTGCATGTGGAAACAGTGCTGCTGGGCAAGCTGAAACCCTCCACTGGGAAGCTGGAGAAGTGAGTAGGGTAGGACTGATTGAAACCGGGCAATGATAAAGAACCTTAAAACCTTCTGACTCTATCTGGAAGCTTTTGCAAAGATTTGGGAGGATGGGAGAGGGATGTGGTGGTGATTTCTGTATTCTGGTTTTTTAATACTTCTGTTATAGTGAAAGATGTCCTTGGAGACTTGAGCTGAAGGGCAGGGTGACACACTGTACTGGAGTGAAGAAGAGTTCGAATGCATTTATTCTGGAAAGAAAAAAATTTGTTTTCAGTTAACAGATTAGTCTCTTTAAGGCTCATCCACCTTCATTAGCATCAGTTTGCATGTAAACCAATCCCAACTTCCTGAAGGGATCGTGGGACAAAGGAGCCAAACTCTTCCTGCTTGTGGCAGATGGCAAGAGGGGCAAGAGTCATGGACTGTGGCTTGGTAGGTTCAGACCAGGGATTTGGAAAAACCTTCTTGCATAGGCGGTTCGTACTGCACAGGATTGAGATATGGGGAGACTGTGTGCTCTGCCATCCTGGGCTTCAGGACTTGGCTAAGTAAGGTCCCTGCTGACCTCACCTGTTACTGGCAATAGTCCTGTGTCAAGGAGGATGAGGATGGATCGTCTGACCTCTACAGATCCCTTCCAACCAACTTTTCTACAGTTTTCTGACTCATCTTGAGGTAAAGCCCCTTCATAACTTGAGCAAAATTTCCTCAACAAAAACCAGCTCTTCACTAATGTGGAAACATCTGCCTAGGATGGTTATGGGTGTCTTCCAACGCGGTGGCTGGAAACCTGCCTGTGGGACTCCTCACCTCTCGCTGATGCCACCTCTGCCAGCAAGAACGTGCAGCTTCACAAGAAGGGACAGTAGTATTGAAGGCTGGACCTGGCAAAGCAAACTGGGGATTTAACTTTCTACAGCAGATACTATGAGATCGCATGTAGAAACAGTTACAGTGGTGTGTGCTAGTATTGCTGCAAATGGTCTTTTTAGTGGTTGGCCTGAACTTACTCGTAGGAGTGTCAGTGTTTTTAGCCTAAAACTACAGATGGCAACTTAAGAGTAAGGAAAAAGGAGCCATGGAGTGTGCTGTTGAAGGCAGTGTTGGGAGAAACTGAAGGAGAAGAAGAGAGGCTTTCCATCTTTCCAGTCATGACTGTTTTCAAGTCCATTTTTCTTAAAGAATAAACATGCGAGGTTTTGGCAGCACAGAGCAGAGAGACTGCTCATCGCCTCCCCTTCAAAGAGTCTCCAGTGTTAAATCTTGCAGCTGTCACAGGAGATAGCAAAATCTGGCCCTATCCATGCGGTTATGCCCTGTGTTGGGGGGTTGGGGAGGATATTTCTAAAGGAGGAGACTTAAAAGTATCTTAGCGTAAAGAAGATATTTATGTATTGCATCCAGGTAACTTTAATGACACAACCTGAAACCGTAAAAGAAACAGGAATAGAATATTTTGCAATAAACTTTATTTTTATGGCCATAGCTTTGGGACAGCAGTAGAAACCCAATTTTCCTTTCCAACAATCCAGTACTGAAAAGCAAAATGCAATTAAAGTGTTCTGTTAGCTATTATTTTCAAATATTGTTTAATATTAAAAATATATTTGTTACATATCATGCTTGACTTCAATGCCTCGCTCTGTTTTTTCAGCACAGCAAATGTCTTTTCCATCAGGTTTCTGTAGCAAATGGACATTTTTATTGAGCCTCTCTGTGTAGCTACTTGTTTAGAAGCTGAACTGCATCTGTTTCCTCAAGATG